ATCTGGCTATCACCAGAAACTCGGACATGGCAAAGAAGAATCCTCATCTACTGTCTTCAGAAAGAGCATAGTCCTCTTGACACACTGATTTCATACTTCTAGATTCCAGAATCAAGAGAAAAAAATTATTTGTTTAAGCCACCCAGTTTGTGGTGCTTTGTTACAGCAACCCTAGGAAACTAGCATTTCTGTGTTATTAAATTGGCCCACAGGATGTTCCTTGCCTTCTGCATCTTTCTGAGGCAATCTTCCTATATACAAGTGACATGGTAGCAGAATTATGACCGTATTTACATGAAATCTACTGTATGCAAAGGATTCTGCCAGGTACTTTACATGAATTATTTCATTTAATTACCAAATTACTATATCAAGATAGGTGTAAATGTGCCCATGTTGCAAAAAAGAGATATTAAATTTCAGAATGCTTGAATCATTTTCCCAGGTCACAGAGCCAGAATTTGGACCAAACTCTGCGTGAAAATTAAGCCATATTTTCTCCTAGACAAATCAACCTAAAAAAGAGAATTATTTTGAGGCTGCCATTTCTCTATCAATTTACAGTGGCTTTTCACAGCCTACAGATTAAATTTATAATTCTAGATAATGTAAGTTTTTTACCTTAATTCATGCCAATCCTCAGATGAGAGTAAGCATTCTATAAGGGAAAGTTATTATTATATCAAATTGGAATTCCGTGCCTTCCAGATATTTGCTGTTCACAGATAATAAGAATATTTAGTAAAATAGTAATATTTTCTACTTTTCCCTTTTATTCATGAAAGACATTTTGATTTGGCAATTACTGAAATAATCATGAACAAAACTTAGGCATATTGTCTTGGTTGGTAGGAGCAGGGTATAAAAGGGCAATGGTTTGAGCTGTGAAGTATCAGATGTGTGGTAATTAGAGGCAATAAAGGAGTATTAAACACTATAGCTCCACTTCTCTTTCTGAAGATGTTTCTATTAAATCTATCAACATTATGAGAAAATATATATCCTCTAATTTGTGTTACTTTTGTGGACAAAGCAGCCTAAGCTACTATTTACTCTGGAAGCAGGCTGCTTGTGTTCCAATCTTGGTTCTGTGACTTCCTAGCTCTATGACCTCAGGCAAATTGCTAAGGCTCTGTGCTTCAGTTTTCTCATCTGCAAAATAAACATAAAATTAGGTTTGTTAATATATTATAAAGTGCTTAGAACAGTGCCCGACACATATTGTCATTTCAAAGGGCAAGCACAGTCCTTGTTTGTCGAAGGTTAACACCAGCATGGCTGCTTTGATGGCAGTTGTAAACACAGACAATCTCAATCTGACATGACCTTACTCACAACCCTGATGTTGTTCCACAGCCTAGTACTCATGTGACTTTCCAGAATACAACAAACAATTCTTTTTGTTTCTGTTCTGATTTAAATTGTTTATACTTTGAAAATGCTGAGATAC